GATTCGATCAAAACGATGATGCTACCGTAGTGAAGATTATGTTTACTTCACTTCTTCCAATCATCCCACTACCACCACAGTCGTCACACTACTGAGGCATGTTCACATTCATTGACGGTAAATCTGGTCACATATGCTTTTAGCTACAGCATTTTCATCCTCATTTTATTAGCCAATGTCAACAATAAAACCCTGTCGGAAACCCATGACAAACATAAATCTGGAGATCGTTAAAGACGTAATTTAGTGTGATGCCCACGGCCATCTTCACGGAAAATTACCATTTCAAATAGTTGCATGAGTTGAACAAGCATGTCAAAGACTCCTAAAAATGCCACATGATGCGCAAGATCAACATGTTATACATGGAAAATCTCAGAATTTTCAGGTTTTACTGTAGGAACTAATGGTATGCTTTGGATTGCAAGAACTTTGAAAAGAACATTCGACAGCACAGCATTCTGACTGCTCACATGTTTCTATTAATATAAAGTTACAAAACTATTTTTTCTTCTTATAGAACAACTGTAGAACATGGAGACTGCTTCCCAACGGGGACACGAACAGATTGTGACAGAAATGCAGGATGTAAAATTCTGAGCAAATATCCGTTCCGGATGAGGAACATTTGGTCAGATAAGGCCAGATCCGGACACCGCATTCGTAACCCTGATACCGTGACACGCATATGGTACCGTTTGGAACAACCTAAGCGTGGACATTGTGACATACTTTTTATTATTTCTCGTATAGCTAGCTGTATATCTACAGTGGATTTCGCTCTCACCACGATGGTATTCTCACACAGAAGTATGGACGTAGGGAAATGATCGATGCACCACCACCTCCATCGGTGGTGCCCCTCCCCACTTATCCCATAAACATAAGTCATTGCGTCCATGGTGAATCAATGGTGAATCTTTCGGCCCAAATTGTCCTGTGGACAGGACAAAAGACACAGATGATCCCTTATGAATTACAGGATTACGAGCCCACCGCCATTCGTATTCACACATATCGGAATAACGCACATGGTTAGCTACGCTCGATAACAATTACTACGTCCCCGTTCTTATGCACATGTATGCTTGTAAATATATCATAGTTTGTTCCACTTTGAGGTCGTCGTTTGGTGAGCGGCATACAAGACCGTGTTGCTCTCCTACCACCCACTCCTCTGCCCTCTCACCGTAGAGTTTATCCCATACATTGTTCTGCTTATCACAGCGTTTCGTTTCCCTGCGCGCACGATGGCCCCAATCTTTTCTGCTACTTAGTCGATAGTGTGTCCGAAACTGTTCACCTGCTTCCTTCGATCTAACAGAGATGGAGATCGGCGGGGGGGGATAAGAAAGTGCGTGAATGAATATGGACCTTGTGGTCACATGCCGAAGAATGTGTGTGAAACTGAAATACCGCGCGGCTAACAGAAAGACTGATTTTCGATACGAAAGTATAGCTGCATGTGTGTGTGTGTGTGCATACATACTCTGTATTATAACCATGACGGCTTCTTTGTATGCGGAAAACCAGGTGCTGTTCACGCCCAGAAGGACAGATGGGGGTGCACCGAGCAGGACCTATTATATCGCAAATTATCAAGCTTTTGATGCTCATGTTCGTTGTGTACGGGTCAGGGATACGGTAAAGTGTCACTGAACGGTCTGTCCAGATACGCTGACTCGTTCATTCCTCCACCACCGGAGAGACGAACTTCCACCAGTCTGTGTTCGGTATCAGTGAAACAGACACATGAATTTTTGTCATATTAACCCGGATTCAGGGCCATGAAATAGTGGACACGAGTGTGAAAGTGTGCATTCTACTGGGGAAAGTCTATAGTTTTGTTTAGCTGCGCCTGTGGCGCACACTATCGCAGACAAGCACAATGCAAGCGAATATGATGAAATGTGACCGGCTTCCAAGGGTTGGAAAATTGATCACTGAATGGCTATCGAACGAAATTTTTCTTCTAATTCACCTGTCATTTCCCATTCAGTATAAAATGCATCTAAATGAAATGGACTTAAACCACTTTATTCGTAGCACACACGGGCACATCACTAGCAATTTGTAAAGCAGAGCGTTAAAAGGATAAAATACCTTATAAAGGATAAGCTGCGAGCCTCATTGAGAATCGTTAGTTTTGTTCATGACTAAGCTCAAACCACGATCCTGGGTTATGAAACCTATCAACGACAATCCCGGAAATGAGGGGAACTCCCTATCAGCGAAAACCTACCCACAGGAACATGCCAAGCTAACCATATTCATTAACCAACTGGAATCATACGCGTTTGAAAGCGATCTCGTTTTACACACAAACACGCGTTCACCTCCCTACATGAAACCACGTTTTTCTCAAATGGTCTCATATGCCGTTCCGTCAACAGTCTCTACATTCTCGAAATAGCACGGCATTATAAAGCACAGTCGAGAACCGGAAGAGTGTAAGGAGTGTCTTATGTAGGCATTTGTTAGGCATTTCATCCGCAGCATACAGAAACAATCGAAAAACACACTTTTGTAGAAAATAGCAACTTACCAGCCACACTCGCTTTGTCTTTTCGGGGGCACCCAGAAACACTGTACAGGGAAAATCGGAACATCATATACAAAGTAGTGATTCGACCAACCTGCGAAACAGACAGACTAGGAGCACCTTTTTAACTAGGTTAATGCGAATTAGCAAACACGGACACGTTCACAATCGAAACGGCTCTACATGCCCCCAAGGGAACATGTTGCTAACTATTTCCGCAAAAGGATACAAGAAGAAAAACAAGCAACAACACCTATCTAGATTGTGGTCAGATGCGCTCCCTTTTTGTTCATTACAAATGAGAAGGACCGTCAAAGAAAAATAGCTAAATGTAGATGAAAACTGTCACAAGAAGAATAAAAAAATAACCAATGAATAGTAGGTACATTCGGTTGAAAAGTATAGATTTAGTCTTTGCGATATGATTCGCAGGACTCGAAAATGGTTTGATGGTTCAACTAAAACTTGGTGACGATAATTCGACATCATATCGGTAGACCGTTCAAAGAGGAATGCTGGGTAACAGGTGTCACTTGTTAGACAGTATTTCTTAAATACCTTTCTATGACTACCACGTTCCACTCTATTTGACGCTAGCGGATTGAATAGAATAAATAGGCTTTGCTAACCCGTTCATAAATTTGGGTATTTTAACCACTTTTTCGTGATTGCGTAAGATGAATTATAGACATTGCGGCTATTCACTTCAGTCAGGAGTCATATGAGCGATATAAGTTGATAGCACAATCCGATGTTCTGATAATGCTGTAGCTTTCAAACTCACTAGCATTGTTTCAATGAATAAGACTTGCAGTGTCATACATTACAAGTTACTGACAAATTTGGCTCAGTGGTTCGGTGAAGAGCATCTACTAGTATTTCTTGTGATCGATTCCGGTCACTATTGTCTAAATTTTGCACTAGTTTTCCTAACGACAATCGACCTTCTTCCAGCCATATTTTCGTTCTCCTTAATCCTGTTGATAGATCATGTATGAACACGTGCCTTTGTGTGCTAGTTTTTCGCAACATGTCTACTACCAAAGCCAGAGGATGAATGGATATCACAGAAGGAAAGGGAAGTGAGCATATACCTGCGATGATAGGAATATAGACCAGTTGCATGCCCCGTACCGTCACAACCTCTAATCGGGCAGCGTCCTTCAGCACTTCGTCCCTTTTTCACTGCAATCAAAAGAAATTGGAAACGAAATTTGGAATACTCTCACAGGGCATACGAATTTTATAAATGAGGAGAGATAACAGTAATGTATTAGTTCATAGGAAAGTAAAATTGTTGCTTTAAGAATTAATTCTCGTGTGCGAAAGGGCTTTCTCATTGAAATCATTTGGAAATAGGCAAATTCAGTGTTTGTAAATAACAGTAGTTGACTGACTTGAGTTTGTGAACCGAGTGAGTAACAAAGAAGTTTCCCTGTAGAAACGAATAAAAATTCCAAGCACGCGAACATGGCCCGTAGTGAAAACTGGCCGTTTTACACTGCTGCCTATTGCGGATGTCGCCGCTGATTCTATGAATATTTGAAGATTTACCTTGCACAAGCGGCGGCGCATGATTATTGTTCAATGCAGTATACGATAACATTTGATGGAAAACAATTGGTATTTTTATGACACACTGGTAAAAGCCACGTTTTTTCTCACTCCCCTATATCAAATCGGAACCAAGCAGTTTGAAACTGAAACCGACACATTCTTAGGCAGAGTGACGAGTTAAAATAGCCGGGGTCCTTCTCCATCAGATGAAAATGTAGGAAGGTTTCATTATTATGTTAACTCTGGATAACTTCATGAATTTTGTTTACTCCATTTAATTCGTAAACACCCTTAGCATTGGACAATAGTGTGTGGATTTCTCTCACCTCACTACCAACTATTTCCCTTCCTCACGTTCAAATAGTTAACGGATTCCAATCGTCTCATCTTCACACAGCTTCAAATGATTGACCCCTAGTAATTGGAGAATACATTTTCATATTTACGCAGTTACCTAAAAATGCAGAATGAACTCCTAGTCAAAACTTATTCAGACCTGAAAATCGTGGCTAGTTTTGTTGAGGAACAGCTAAGCATGTGGCTCTTAGGTAATTAAAACGGTTTGTCAATCGAAAATGCTCACAATTAGTTTAAATGAGTTATTTTAGGAATAAAATTCAGCACGTTGCTCAACTTAAACATTTCAATGGAGAATTTTATTGGCATAATTAATTCTCTGGTTTTAGTCAGAATGTTGAACCCACGAAAACCGATTGCCAGGATAGTTTATATAAACCGCCTACATATTTAAGGTAGGATACAGATGTCTGGTTGTATCGTGTATATTCATTTAATACTTGAATCATTCCTTCCTGATTCCTGATACGTCTATAAACCATAACTAATACCAAAAGAAATAAGGGTTGAGTGGTCATATCATGATCGGAAATGAGAAACTCTTCTAGCCGACCAAAGTTATGTTGATCACAGGATCTATCTGCTTACCACTGCTTAAACGGCCCTTTTCGGCTTGCGGTTCTTGGCTGTTATCATTGAATAAGAATGGATTTCCAGAGGTCTGTTCACTCTCGGTTGAATGCTCACTGTACACCGAATGATTCGAAATATTTCGACCCACGGAATTAGAACTGTAATGCATCGGATGATCGAGAAATTTTCGCGGTGGCTCTTCGACGCTCTTGTCAGCACCAGTCGTCGTCACCTCTTCCGAGTCTTCATCGTTTTCATCTCCAAACATTGCGCTTACCACAGTTTTCATGGCACCAAAGTTACCGAGATCACGGGTGTTTCCAGACCGAGGATTGTAGGGTGTATCGTCTTGAACTTGTGCGTACTCGGCAGTATCTACTAAGTTTTGCAAAGAGTTGGTTGGCGGATGTGAATGGTGATAGTGTTGTAGTTGTTTTTGTTGTAGTTGCTGCTGCTGCTGCTGCTGCAGTTGTTGGCATTGATGTGGATGCTGCATATGAGATTGATTCGGACTGATTGGCAAATGCGACTTTGTGGCGTCTGGTTCGGTGTCAAATTTCGATCCAGTTTCAACACCATCCGGTTTGTTGCTGCTATTGAGATTTCTTATCTTGTCGGTCGCACAGTATCCATTCCCTCCACTCATGACTGTCCTCTGAGAGATCCTGAGTACAGACAGACAATACGGAAAGCGTGATTTTACGGTAAACGAACAAAGAACATTACTGTGGATTGTAGTAACTCACCTAGCGGAGACTGTTTGATTACTATCTAAGGCTTGGAAAACATACCTTCCAATGGAGTCACGGATACGAACGTTATTTTTACCACGCTGTCTTTTAGCTTTACGAGAACGCTAGTTGTTCAACCGATCGCTCATACTGCAGTCACTATTTTCACAAGCCCTCGTTCGTAGGCCTGGATGCACGGGAATCCAATAGGCTATAAGAAACAGTGATCAATAGCCGTCTCGGGTGTATTTCAGTAAATCTGGTGTCAAATATTCAGTTCCCTATTTCAGTTTCATGAAGTCAGGGTGGTAAAATCGTGTGGAATTCAAAGGATTGGTGGGGGTCGCTGGGCTCAAGGGTGTGTGAGCCATTGTTCTAATCAGTTTATCCATAGGGCAAAGGTAACGAATTGCAGCTCATGAGACCTTTGATGGGTGCACACTATCACCCACCTCATTGTCTGGATTGTCTGGATTTCAAAATGCTCTCGCAAATTGCACAAAACAAACCGCGATTTGATGGAATAAACAACGAAGGACCTTCGCCTTCTGTGAGTATTTTCTTCCTATTGTGGTTCCCGGTAGGTTTGTGATCTTTAACGGAACAAAGTTAAGTCAACTCCAATGAAATATGATGCGCCTTTTTCCGAGAGAAACGGATCATGTTCTGCTATTTGAAGGGTCATTTGGAATCAGTTTATGTCAACACAGATGTCTCATACGAAGCAAGCTCTGAATAATTCTTGATGATGTTTTTGTTGGCACAGAATAATGATCGAGTTAAAGGGAAAAAGAATGCCCGCAGAGCGGCTAAAACGTGATTGGAACACCCTGATGCCAAAGTGCAAGAATCACTAGGTGGAGAAACCTAACTCCCAGAGTATTTGCTTCACATTTACGATCAATGTGTAATACACCAACAAAGGACTGTGGTGATGGACTGAATAAATGTTATTCAGCCATTTGCGTCGCTGAATTCGATTGAATTGCAGTCCACGTAGGAGTTTGCGTGATCCCCTGAACACGTCTGAGCATTATTCGTTATGAAGGTGTTTTTAAAATTGATAAGTTTTGCTATCCCAGTTGTGTGAAAGCTTCCATATTGACAAATCTGTCGTTTTTTATTTATAAATTGATCCATAGTGTCTGTGCAATCCACCTGATTGCACATATAACTTGCGTCATTGCTCCTGAATAATGACTTAACGTGAAAGAGGAATTGACTTTGGGTTAGTCCTTTAAAAGTAGTGTTATGCGCTTTTGTTAATTGTAAAATAATCGGACTTTGACAAATCGCCAGTAATCTATGGCATCTAGGGGCATTCCAATGAGCTGCAAGGTACGATTCCAAGTTTGGCTAAACGTTCTTTGAATGGACCACAGCTCTAAGGAAGTTTACAGGATAAATTTTTAATCATTAACAAATAGAAGTTTCATTCTTCATTACTTCAGTCGTGAGAAGCACTAGCATTAGGATATGGCTCCAACCTATCTAAAATGGATGACACATGATCAGTGTACTGAGCGAGTAAACCACTGAAAATCAATCGTTGCAGGTACATCTTTTCCAAAATCATATATGTAACTTTAGACCCAGTGTATCTTATGGCGTGTGGCTTGGCCAATTAGGTAACATTGTAGTGTATTATTGAACAATTTGTTTGTTTCAGTTTCACTAGGGTATACCTAGTGATAAAAAAGCTTTCAAGCTACTGTCTGCGTGCCAGGGAAATAGTCAGACTGAAAAAACACTGTCGCTGAAGGGCAATTTTATATCCTGAGGGTATTTGGCAGTCTGGAATCAGGGAGTTTCAGGGGAGATATTCACTCAGGTCAGTCCATTCTCGAGAAAATAAGGAAAATCCATTTTCACAACCGTTAAGTCGTCTGGCGAACTGCATCAAAGAATCTGTCATTTTTTGATTAAGTGTTTCACACCACAGGGCAGACGCTGTCATTGTAGATTCAGGGTGAGGATGAGCAAAAGGTCTGGTGGGGGTGGGTGGGTGGGGGGGGGTGAATTAGAGAAAGGGAAGATACCGTGATAACGATCACGAACCGGGGCTCAGAAAGACAAGACTTAGTCTTCGACACCCCCTTACACAAAACCACGCCTGCTGATGTCATCATCGCTATATTAGACAACTCACATTTCCAGTCCAGTAGTCAGCAATCACAAATGTTGGTTCATTCTTTGTATGCTTGCGAATGATGGGAGGGAGGAGAGCGTGTGGAGATCTCGAAATCTGGAGGTGCCCTAGGTGAATTCTGACAGAACCGTAAAGGAGAGGGGGAACAGAACACTGTTTGGCTTTATGACACCAGGAACGGGGACGATCATAATATCTGCCTGCACATTACTTTCACGACAAAGCCGGGCCATATCCAAATGGACCTGTAGTCAGATCAATGTGCTTCTGAAACATGCTTCTACTCCCACCGGTCACATCATTGCACGCATGAGGCCTGTGGCAAATCGTCAATCTCAGAGGACACTGCCTAACCTTGCTGATCAGGTTCCTAATTAGAGAAAGTGAAGTTCGTGACGAAACTCTTGGATTAATTTGCTCACCGATATCACGATGCCAGAGAACGCACCAGTTATGGTTATGCAAATACCAAAGACGATAAACAACAGAGACCTTTGAATAACCTGTTCAAGATGATCATTTGAGCGGAGAATAAGGAGCATAAAACAAGTTAATAAAAGTAATCATCCGTATCATATATCAGTCGTTGTCTGTGTTTCTACAAAATAATTGATCTATAATTTTAATCACATGCGACCGCCTTTATGCATTTAATAGCAAACTATCAAAAAGGAGATTCCTATTTTGCCAACAATGTATGTAAGTGACTGAAGCTGCATTTGGCCATTAAATTATTGAGAAAAAGCAGCTTCTCTGCCAACTTTAAGAGGGGCACACCTAGAGACAAAAACCATTAGTCTGTAATCACAAGCCACATAGTCATCAGGTTTTGGGATGTTTCAGATCGAGCCATAACCTTGAAAAGACAGCCTTTGATGAACGACGACGGGAACTGATGAGTGTACTGCATCGTCAGAGAAGCGGGGTGTTTACCTAGACAGCGGGTAACATACTTTCATTTGGTCTGTGATATCTTGCGTTTATTCCACAGGTGTTAATGAAATCGAATAGATTTTGCTCATTCATAATGCCAGGGAGATCAGTGTAAAATTATGTAATTACCAAAAAAGTATGGGACTAGCTTTCTGTTTCAAAGTTAATTATGCACATACTCATCCGCCAAAATTGTTGTCCATGGCCAAAATAGATCAAGATCAGTAAGTATCGTGAAGGTTAGCCGTTCGACTTATAGTATGAAACAACTGTAATCGTTGCTGATGAGTCCCAACAAGGACGAAACTGCAGATCGGTCACATTTTTCAGCCGCTACACACGAAAGTGTAAATACTCGAAAGGTGGCTCTAAACAAAAATAAACCACAATCGCTGTATTATAAATCTTCACAGTTTCATATCCAATATCGAATTGATGGTATAATATACATGCCGGCAAAATGAATTCAGAGAGCGGAGTGACAGAGACTAAAATTTGTTTTTAAATTTTAACATTTAACATGTGTCAACCTATAGACATATACAGCGTACACGCTCACTGTGTAAGCATGATGTTTATGCAATTCTCCTTTTCTTATGTGTGAAGTAAACAATCACGAAATCAAATTTATTCCAGCGACTAACATTGAAGAGGTCCTTATTTACCAGTTTTCGTCGTAGATACGAAATATATCCATAATATTGTATAGATAGTATGCATTGGTTTAGGATCGCATTGTACTCTTCGACCTTTGGTATTTACCATTAGGTAAGCCCTTAAATGCAGCTGAATTGAATACTGGTCGGATTCGGCGATGTGGTAAAACGTTCTATGAAGGTAAATTCTTGGCAGCAGGATATAAAACGAATATGTGCGTACCATCCTTGAAATCAGGAACTCAAAATGTTTGAGGAAGGGTAAACAAATTTGGTTTTGATGCTTTCTTATGACACTGACTTTAGAGATTGGCCAGAACTAGACGACTCAACTGAGCTATCCGGAAGCCTCAATTTTACTACTTTTATTCTGTATAGCTCAAGTACAAAATGAACATGAATACCACAGATTTCCCTTTTGAGTTTCTTAAAACTTTCATAAATACTAATCGGTACCACCGTTCATCAATAAAGAGTGACAAGAAAACGTTAGATAGATATGACTTACTTTGAACAAATTTTCAACAAATGCAAGTTTTCGGTACGCGGATGTGATAGCCAGTGTACAGTTTGCACAGTTTGCAAAGTTGTGCGGTCGCTTCGGAATGTGTTTCGTTAGTTCGGATACCACTGGCCCTAGTCGTCACTCGTCGGACTACGTAAAACTTCCGCGGACTCGCGCTGCAACTTGATTGGTTGGTCTTGACACACACATACGTACGCGCGGGCGTGCGCGCAAACACGCGAACACTATCCCTCCCACCGGACTGGCATGCGCGTGTGAGTGCAGCAGCGGCGGTACTGGACGTCGGCGGTCAGCCGAACAACCAACGTTGACTGTCTAGCTATAGGTACCGTACACACAAGTTTTACCAATCTGATGATTCCCCGCACACGATCTGCGCACCGGTTGGTTGAACTATGGTGTGAATCGCGTAAAACTTTTTTGAAGCTTCTCCAAACACAGACCACGGAAATACCCGCCTCCAGCACGTAAAAACAACACCCGGTCCAGTTTATGTGGAACAGGCATTTGCTCGCAAATCATTTTTAGTAAGGTGTGCTCCAACCGAAAGCATATCAGAAGTGCGCACGTGTGTGTGCATGTATGCTTGCCCGTGTGCTCTGCAAGGGATAATGTATACACTCGGTTGTTGTTGAACTGTTTTTAATCCAT